TTTTAGTTTTGGGTATTTTTAGTAAAAGTCATGGACAGGTCCTGGGCAGTAAACAAAAAATCACGGCCCGTGACCTGTCCATGACTTGTACTATACCCCTAACTAAAACTTGGTACAGAGGGGCCGCAGGTGCTCTGGGGGGGTGGCCTGGGACCCCCACTGCTGCTGGGGGGGAGGATTGGGGGGGCTGGCAGGCTCCCTATTCAGTTCCGCGTGTCCCTGTAGCTCCTAGGGGGAGGGAAGGCCAGGGGGCTCCGCATGCTTCCCCCACCACGAGCTCTGGCTCCGCCGCTCCCATTGGCTGGGAACTGCAGCCAATGGGAGCTGCGGGGGTGGTGCCTGTGGGTGGGGGCAGTGCACAGAGCTCCTTGCCCCACTGCCTAGGAGCTGAAGGCAGGGCCGGCTCCAGGCACCAGCCCACCAAGCATGCGCTTGGGGCGGCACCTGGAAGGGGGCGGCGCGGCGTGGCGCTCCGGCCCGAGAGCGGGGCCGCGACTGGGCTCGCCGCCCTCCCCGCGGCGCTCCGGCCGCCGGGGAGAGCGGAGCCACGGCGGGCTCGCCGCCCTCCCCCTGGCACTCTGGCCGGCGGGGAGAGCGGAGCCCCGGCCGGGCTCTCCACCCTCCTCCCGGCGCTCTGGCCGCCGGGGAGAGCGGAGCCACGGCTGGGTTCTCTGCCCTCCTCCCAGCGCTCTGGCCGCTGGGGAGAGTGGAGCCACGGCCGGGCTCTCCGCCCTCCTCCCGGCTCTCTGGCTGCCGGGGAGAGCGGAGCCGCGGCAGGCTCGCCGCCCTCCCCCCGGCATTCCGGCCGGTCGGGGAGAGCGGGGCCCCGGCCGGGCTCTCTGCCCTCCTCCCGGCGCTCCGGCCGCCAGCGGAGCCGTGGCGGGCTCGCCGCCTTCCTCCCGGCGCTCTGGCCGCCGGGGAGAGCGGAGTCCCGGCCGGGCTCTCCGCCCTCCTCCCGGCGCTCCGGCCGGTCGGGGAGAGCAGGCCTGCGGCCGGGCTCGGCGCCCTCCCCTGCTGCGCTCCCCGCCGGGGGCGGGGGGAGGCTTTTTTGCCTGAGGCGGCAAAAAAGCCAGAGCCGGCCCTGGCTGAAGGGACACGCCAGCCACTTCCAGGGAGCCATCCCCCTCCCCAAGGTAAGCGCCACCCCACACCTCAACCCACTGCCCCAGCCCTGAGCCCCTTCTCACACCCAAACTGCCCCAGCAGCAGCTGGTGCAGCTGGCCCAGGGGCTGCCTGATCTGCTCATTCAGCCCTGGGGCCAGTCACATCAGCTGCTGCAGAAGTCACGGAGGTCACAGAAATTCACAGAATCCATGACTTTCTGTGACCTCCGTGACAGATTTGCAGCCTTATTAATAAGCTCTATTCTGAGAGCTTACATGGTCCATAGTCCTTGATGACTCCCTGCATCCTACATGAGGCAGGAGCACCGTGAAAAGGAGCACAGGCAGGAGCCAATTATCATGGACTAAGAGGTGGGGTAACATTTCCGAGTCATTAGGAGTCTAAATCCCATTTTCATAAGTGACAGACACAGCGGTGTAAATCTCATTGAAAGTCAATGGAACTCGTAGGGCTGGTCCACACTACCCGCCCAATTTGGCGGGTAGAGATCGATCGATTTATCTAGTCTCATCTGGACGCGATAGATCAATCCCAGAAGCGCTCCCCCGTCGACTGCGGAACTCCTGCTCGCCGAGAGGAGGAAGCGCTGTCGACGGGGGAGCCTGCCTGCGCCGCGTGGACCCGCAGTAAGTAAACTTAGTTCGATCTAGGAAACGTCGACTTCAGCTACGCTATTCTCGTAGCTGAAGTTGCATTTCCTAGATCGATCCCCCACCCCAGTGTGGACCTGCCCTTAGACTCCTAAGTCGCTTAGGCACTTTTGAAACTGTTACCTTGTATCTGTAATTAGACTGTATATGCAATTGGGGGGAGAGCTATGGTTGTATGGGCAGCACTGATTTAAGAATCTCTTGACTCTCAAGTGCTTCCCTTCACTCTACAGTCTCAGCATTTTCTTCACATAGGCCTTCAAGTCTGGGGAGCTGCCGGATGCTGGTTGCAATGCCCTGACTGAGGGCCCCCTCAGTCCATCACAAGTTAGAACTGCGCAGGCGCAGCCCTAATTTATGCCTGGGGAGGACTGGTCATGTTGAAGTCTCCTCTGCCACACCCTCTCCCCTCCTTGCACCCCGAATGCCCACTCCTTCCACTTCTACTGGGAGTGAGGGTAGGGTGACCAGACAGCAAGTGTGAAAAATCGGGATGGGGGTGGGGGGTAATAGGATCCTATATAAGAAAAAGACCCAAAATCGGGACTGTCCCTATAAAATCGGGACATCTGGTCACCCTAAGTGGGGGCCACAGACCTGCCTCTGCTAGCTGATCACCATCAGAGAGTCTGCCTGCATTGGGGAGTTCTCAGCTATGTGACTGCTTTAAGGTCACTTTGCACTGGATAATCTAGTCTGTCATTTTCCATATGGAATGTTCTATTAGTAGTGACTGCTCAAGTTAGGATAATAGAGTGGTGACCAATATTTCATCCTCATTCAGCTGGTCTGATTCCATGCTTCGTCCTGCTTTACAGGATTTGCGTTTTTTGGTTGGTTTTTAATTTGAGTTCATTTTATTCAGCTGATTCTGAGTTTGGCAAGAGTGAAAAAATATACTTACACTTAGCTAAGGGTGTCACACAGGGCAACGAGATGTAGCCATGGAAGAGAAACAACCAGAGAGTGAGATTCTTCGGCTGTGGAAAACTCTCCCAAGGAAAGCTTGGTCAACTGGACATTTAAAACTAATGGGGGCAGAGCCCTTCATATATCCTCTGGCTCCAAAAGAGGGACTGGTTGTTCTAACAAGTCTTTTCCCCTCTCTCTCTTCTCTACTATACATTTCAAAAGGGGTTTCTTTTTAGCACACATTTCCACTGGGTTGTTACACTGTAAGGTAACCCTGTGACCCCATATTTTTGAAGCAATCTCTTCTTGACATAGAGAGATACAAATTTGCTCTCTTGTTTTTTGAACAGTTCACGGAGAACCTTTAGAAAAGATGCAAGAGGAATTAATGAAAGTGTTACAGTCCAGGAAACTGAATGCCAGCATCGTGTTAAATCTTGAGCCTGAGCAACCTTTACGCACCAACAGTGAGAATGAAATCACGATGTTTGCAGATAGCCAGTATCAACCTAAGTTTGATATGGATCTTAATAAGTCAGGAGATCTTCTTCCTGGAGTAAATTACCTTTTCTTTAAACACCTGACCAAGAAGGGAGAAATAAACAATGTAGGACTGACAGTCTTGCCATTTTTTAAACTGTTTAATTTTAATTTACACAAAGGAAAAGTTACCCCAGGCCTTTTCAAACTTCCTGCCGCTCAATCCAATATGCTGGCATTGACTGACTTTCAGCATGTGGACTGGGCCAATGAAAGTGAATTGAGGAAACTCTATATTTTGGCGAACTTGCTAGCAACAGAGCTCCAAGAAAAATTATACAATTCTGAAAATGGCAATGGTGCAAACAAGATGAAATCTGTGCTCAAGTCATTCCTGACAACTCCTGCCATGCACAAAAGCCAAGCACGCAGAACTGAGGGGCAAATTCCAGCAGTGCCTGGACATCTGAGAGAACATTTGAAAGCCGGAGGGATTTGTAGGGAACTTGCAGAGCAATGCGACAAGGTTTTATCCAGAAACACGCATGGAAGGAAGAAAACTCCAGAGAGAACAAAGGAATGTGTGGATTATAGGATGAAATGTACAAGGGAAGGGAAGGAAAAACAATCAAAAAAGATGAAAAGAGAGACCCTGCAAGCTAAAGAAGAGAGAAGCAAAGGAACAGTTTGCTGTTCTGGCAGAAAAAGAAGAGAAACTAAGAAGGCATTTAAGAGTCAGGTGCAAAAGCGAAGTGACTTAGATTTGCACCGTGTGGCACAAAGCAGGAAGAAAGTGGCTAGGAGTTTAAATCCCTCTAGCACAGTTTCTGTCTTCAGACATCACAAAATATCCATTCCCTCCTCCCGGAGACGTTCCCTTCCACACTTGCCCACACAGGCCTCTCACTTGACTGTCTCATTTAAGGTTGAAAACAATTCTGATGACTTAACAGGTAAAATCATTATTTTCTTGGAACATGCCAATAAAACTGGTAGGAAGAAAGATCTGGACACTCTAAAGGCAAAGTATGCACCCCTTAGAAAACCTAAAAAAGTTCTTATTTTCAGAAAACATGGCCAGAAAGGGAGCCCACATTTCAGTAGAAATAATCTTCTTTTCCAGAAGGCATTTCATCGAGTGAATTCAGATGTAAGCCACATGCTAGTGGAAAGAAAACAAAAGCACAGGATGAATAGTAAAGAAGATGTAATCAATAGGTTATCACATAGAAAGGGTGCTGCTTTGACTGATGCTGTCTTGGAGAACCCATCAGAAAACAATGACTCTTCGCTGGATGATATCTTACCCAGCATACACCAAGCCAATGAAACACACTGGAAGCATCAAAAAGAGAGCTCTGGTTTTCCATATGCACTTAGTGGGTCATCATCCCCGGATAATTACTCTGTTCAAGGAGACCTGTTTGAAGCTGAGCTGAATAATCGATTGCGCTCCCTCATCCCAAACCAAGCTGTGAGAAACCTCATCTCCCATGTGATCCGAACTCTGAAAATGGACTGCACTGAGCCCAGGGTGCAGTTGGCCTGTGCGAAGCTCATCTCTAAGACAGGCCTGCTCATGAAACTGTTCAGCGAGAGAGAAGATATCAAAGGAACCTCCTCTCTGTGGCGAACGTACCTCTGGGGAAACGGGAACGCGCCCAATGAGAGCACCCACCAGAGGAAAGCCAGCAAGAAAGATTCAGAGGAGGTAAGCATCACATGATACATTGGAAATGAGCAATAGAAAACTCAGAAGTAACTATCCTTCCCATTCTGTCTGAATGTCTTTGTGTTTCATAGTTATCCCCGGAGCCTCCCCAATACAGCTACGGCAACAAGCTGCTGCTGGCGATATCGGCGACGGTGGTAATAATGATTATTATTGCAGTGATTTGTCTCATCGAGGTAAGCCAAAAGAATCCATTTGTTGCATGGCCATTGTTCCAGTTGTCCTCGCAGCACTGTGTAGGAGTATGCCTTCGAACAGTGTATGAGCCTCCGTGTTTTAGAAACGGCCAGGAACCAGCCAGAGCACTCATATGACGGTAGTTATGCCTTGCCTGCTGGCAGGGCCGGCACAACCAATTAGGCGACCTAGGGCGCTACAATTGGGGGGGGGGGCGGCGACCGCGGCGGTATTTCGGCAGCAGGACCTTCCGCCGCCTCTGTGGGGGGCGGCATTTCGGGGCGGGACCTTCCTCCACCTAGGGTGGCAGAAAAGCTGGCGGCGCTCCTGCCTGCTGGGGTCTGTCTGAGCGGCAGTCAGGAGAGGTGGCTGCAGCCACAGGCGCGGACTTTTATTTTTCCGGTGTTCCACCCCCACTCCGCCCCTTCCCCCGAGGCCCTGCCCTCACTCTGCCTCTTTCTGCCCCTGCTCCAACCCCTCCCCAAGGTCCTACCCTCACTCCGTCTCTTTCTGCCCCCACTCTGCCCCCTACCCGTCCTCCCCCAAACACCTCCCGCCAGCTGCCTAACAGCTGATTGGCAGGGCTGAACAGCTGATCGATGATCCCACCGAACAGCTGACCCACAGCCCCGCTGAACAGCTGCGGCTGATGGGTGCTGAGCACCCCCTATTGTTTTCTAGGGATGCTTGAGCCCCAGAGCACTCACGGAGTTGGCGCCTACGGCTGCAGCACTGACAGAGCTTAGATCTCGCTGGGATGTCCTGGGGGCCCACGCTGGCATGGCTCCACTGCTTTTGTTACTCCCATTAGCTTTGATCCAGCCAGATCATGTGATCTAACTAAATCATCGCGAGCTCAGTTATAGCTACACGTGCTGCAAACACACCTCCCAGCGGCAGTGTAGACATGCCCTTTGTGTCCTTGGTAAATGTGGTTATTTGGGACTAGACCGCCACGCCGGTGTGTTGTTGCATAAAGAACACAATTATAGCTAATCCTCCCTTGGGAAGGAAATAGTTAATAACCCCGCCCACTTCTTCCACTCCACCCACACGAGGGTCCTGAGGGTCCTGGAGCTGAAAGAGGGCACATTACCACGGTGCAAAGGGAACTCAACCCTGCAGTCCTTACTCAGGCAGAACTCCCACTCAGTTACCATTCATTATCTCACATCCGCCCTTCCATGTGTTGTGTCCAGCCAGCACCTCTCTGACACTTTGATTTGGGGCAGAGACTGTCTTGTCGGTAGATGTTTGGACAGCGCCCAGCACAACAGGACCGTGGAGCCACTAGGCACTACCGGAGTGCAAATAACAGCAATAGTAACATTGCACCCAAAATGACAGGAATAACTGAAGTCAATGGCAGTTTTGCCTGTGTGAAGACTGCAGGATCAGGGCTGCGTCACAAGCAGTGTTCTGATGTCATCACATTGTTGCTTAGTTATATCAGTAAAGTGTCCTGTGCTAGAACAAAACCAAGAGTGTCTGTCTGTCTCTCTCTCTCTTTCCTGGTGGCTAGAGAACTGGTCTAGGCAGGGGTTCAAATTCTGTTCTTACTTCAAATCAGGTTGAGCAAGGACTTGTCTGTCTTGCTCAACCCAAAAAATTTTCGGGGAGACATTTCATGCAAATGATAGGTTTCAGCTTTAATGAAAGGATATTTCACCAAAGTGGCCAGCTCTAGATGGTAGTGGCTCCTCCCTCTTGTTTTCATTCTCTTCTATAGACTTGACTCCTGGTCGGAGTCCCATGATGCACTCTGATCTCTCCTCTTGGAATGAGGAAGTGATGCATCATGTGAGTTGCTGGCCATGGTGCATCATGGGACGGGTAGTTCAGCTAGTGCGACCAGCCCATTGAGAAGAATAGGGACATGAGGCAACCTAACTAAAACTATCACAAGGCAGTGTGGCAGCATTTTCAAATCAAAATATTTCAGTTTTGGGTTTTTCAATGAAAAATCTAACTTTTCTGCAGCAAACACTTTTTGTGAAACATTTTGTTTAGTCAAAGAACAATTTTCCAGTGAAAAATCGTTTGGACAGAAAATTTTTGTTTAACTCCTATTTAATAACCAGTATCTTGGTGTCTCTTTTGTACAGCATACAGAGAGAAAATGCCTGGCAGCTGTTGTTGATGTCATTTTTTTTCTTCTTAAGCAGATTTGTTCCCAAAGATCTGCAGCATCTTCTCAATCAACACATGATAACAAACCACAGTCAAAATGGTAATTGTTCTCTTTTCCCCTGCCAGTGTTGTGTAACACAGACAGCTGTTTTCTCTCATTTAGACAATGCCTAATCTTAGACTGTTCCAAACCTTTCAAATATTGCATGTTGGAGAATCACAAGGCACCCACTCGGATATTTAAAAAAAAAAGCTTCACTTTTAGCAAACACAGAGAAGACACTCCAAAGAGTGAGATCCCAACTGCTGACTAATAAGCTTAGACCTCTGCAAACCTCTCACCAGCAGCTTGCAAGCTGCTCTTCTCCACAGTAATTGATTAATTAATCACATGTGACAGCTATGCCATTTGCTGTAACAATTTATCGCCTCTGTCTCTTCCCAGGCCCCACTAGCCAATACTAATGCAGTAGTTTGCCCGGGGCTCCAGTGTAGCTCACATGCATATTGTGATTTATTAGCTCTGTGCAGTTATTTACCATATTTATTCAGGAAAAAATAAGTCTTTCCTGCAAATGCCCTCATGATATGATGCTCAGTGGTACCACCTCCATATCAGGTCATAGAAGCCTTTTAATTCCCTTGCCCCTCCCGTTGCACACACTCTCCTAGGGCCCAGGGTTTGCCACCGGGTAGAGGACAGGATTTTTGTGGGTGTCCCTTATCAGCTCATCAGGGCTCAGAGACCCAGGCTTCCCCTGCCGCAGTGTCCCTCTCTGCTTTAAGTGCATGAGAGGACATAGCAGACGTCATCCACTCGCGTTCCTCCTCAGAGCAGCATGAAAGGAAGGTCGGGTTGGTCGACTTGATTGTTTCAGCATCATTCATTGCAAGGGCTCTAGGAGATGTTGCTCCTCTCTGCTGTGTTAGGGTTACCATACGTCCTCTTTTTCGGCTTTTCGGCACTCAAACCCCCGTCCGGGGGGAATTGCCAAAAAGCCGAACATGTCCGGGAAAATGGCGGCTCTGTTTAAGAGCTGAGCTGCCCGAGCGCTATGGGCTTCAGGCAGCCCCCTTGCCTCCGGACCCCAGCCGCCG